GCGAGGTGACAGATGGTTTTTCGATTACAAGAAGCCACGTAGAGGAAACAATCAGGGGCTCCTGTTGTTTTCAAAGTATTGAGCAGCAGGTCTGTTAAGCAGGACGCTGAAGATTAGATATGCAGCACATTCCCTGACTAGTTAACAAGATAGTGTCAGGCTCCTCTGTTGGAGAACCAACTTATAAAACAGGTATAACACTGCATATGAGAGCACAAAATTATATTATATTTCAGATTATGTATCAAAAATCATACACTTATGATGAACCCAACATTATTCCAGAAGTATTTTTTTAATATATTCTATTTAGGGCTACAACTGATGATTAATTTACCACTCTAATAATCTGTCAATTTTTTTTTCAGTTAATCGATTAATAATCGAATAGCGAAAGGTTCTTTAAAGACGATTTTTTTTTGCCAAATTAAACCAGGTTAAAATAAAACTTTTCCACTTGAGGAGTTCTGGTTAGAGCATATTAACAGACAAAAAAGATTTTTTTTTATCTTTTTTCACAATTTTTGGTATAATTGCTGCTCTAAGTGGGTTGCTCTGTCAGTTTAGAGTCTCTAAACACCAGCTAACGATTAATCAATTAGTTGACGATTATTTCAATAATCTATTTATCACGATTAACCGGATAAATTCTTTCAGCTCTGATTATATTATTTTAACGCCAGTAGTAATGACTACTATTTATGGTTCAGAAAAAGCTATTTTTAAATTGTTAAATTTAATTAATAGTATAATCATTTTATTGAGCTTAAAGTACAGGTTCAAACTGTTAGTGGAGGGGTTTGAAAATATAGGAGCTAGATAAACATTGATTAGTATCTTTATTTGGCTTGTTTTTCCTCCATTATATTCTATATTTTCCCTCTTTTAATATTTGTAATGTAGGTAGTGAAAGTATGCATTTAATGTGAGCAAGGCGTTTCACTTATGGACATTTTTTTCACAGGATTTGTCATTGTGAGCTGCATATGTTGTACAATTATTTAATAAATACCTGAAAACAGAGGATCATCATTAGGTTGATGACTTGTTGTACCTATATGTGGGAACCTCATACCAGCCGACGCTTAATTGCATGTAGTGTAGAATATAGTGCATTTAATTTGTAATTGAAGGTTGGATTATAACAAGAATATCCTCTGAAGTTGTAGATATGAAGCAAGAGGAGTTTGATCAACAGGCTCTTTGTTAAAATCCAATATGGCTCCCTCACATAGATCATAGTGAAGCTCATGGGTATAAGCTATTATTAGGAGCTAAACAAGTGGCATTTATAGGTATACATATAATTTTATTTGTGAACATGTTCCCTGCTCAATGTGTTGCTTCACAGTAAAGAAAAAAAAATCTAATTCTCCAAACATACTTTTAGTTTAAGAAATGTGGCAATTTTTATTGATTTCCAGGTACAAATAACAGGCCAGTTTGGGTAAAACACCACCTAAAGTGTTTTATCAACTTTGTTTGACAAAACAAGCCTTTGTAATAGGCCAATAGTTACTAGAATTAACAACCTACCGTAGTAAAGACAATAGTGACTGCTATCAGGAAAAAAACAACACTTTGAGCGTGTGATAGCTTTAGTTTGTTTCTATCATTGTGATACTGTGCTACTTCTGCTAGAGGTTTTAATCTCATACCAGCCCATGCCTAATCCTGTGAGCCTGAGTTTTTGTCTATCATTGGGATTAGTTAAAAAGGGCCAAACCCTATTTGGTGCCTGTTCTGTAATTCTTCAAAGCAACCAAGCAAAATCATGTCTCTGCGGCTGAAATCTCTTGTACTTTTCCCCAAAAAATGACAACGACTGGGTCGACTTTTTACGCTCCGTCTCAAACCGACCTCCCCCCCATGTAAGGGCTGCTCCGAAACGACCAGATACAAATAACATGGCAGCCCGCAAAAATCACTACAGTTGTCGCTGGTGTCTTCCAGAAAGTCGAAACCATCAATAAAACACGGGAGATACATTCCAGCTATGGACGAGCGGGACGTTTCCGACTTTCCCTCGCTCTGCGTGTTCTCTTTGTAGCTCTCTCTCCCAAAACTTTCTCTCTACTCCAAGTTCCACCACAAGAGAGGCTTCACATATTGCAGCCATATGAGTGAGCCATGGCTTGTCTCCGCAGCCCATGCAGACACACACACACACACAGAAAGGCATAAGCGCTTTGCTGTCTCCCGCTCTGTCTCACACATACATTCACAAATGAGTTTTACAAGCAATAGGCTCACTCTAGGAAGTTGTCAACTGTTTTGACGTTTAATAGCAGCTACGAAAAAGGCCTTAAGAAACAATGGTATCCAGTGTCTCTAAAACAGGATGTTTTCTTTTCTTTTCTTTTCTTTTTACACAACATTGAGTGTTGTCAGTCATTTTAAAAAGATTTATTCAAGTTGTAAAAGTTTGCAAGGCCTTTTTTTATATATAACAATGATTACAACTTATTTACTCTAGTTAAAGTCAAATGTTTAAAACGGTGAAAGTTTTATGAGACTTGAAACTTGATCAAAACATGATTTTCCTTCACTTCAAAACTTAGGAGTAAAGCTGCTTCTCAATGCCAGACTTTAGAAAAGAATTATAAGAAAAGAAAAACAAGAATTTGAGGAACTGCTAAGAAATTGTCATTATTACATGTACAGACCGCTGGAAAGCAGATGTGAAAACAATAAAAAAAAAAAGAGATTTAACAGATGGAGCAGATCTTTTAACACGCTCTTATGTGGGTAAATGAGAATAACTACAAACTGATTTTTTTACTTGGACATCATGTAGGAAAAAGTGCAGAACTTAAATGTAAAACATATTAATCTGAAGCTTTACATTTAGGCAGGAGTAAATGTGAACCACAGAAACCGATGTGTTAGCTTCTACCCACACTCATTTCTTTGAGAATTAAAAGCTAGACTCACGTACTTCGCATGAATCTTCTCAACTTCGCGTCTGCAAAATCGTATATTTTAACGTACGTTAGTGTAATCTAAATAAATTTTGAAGTAAGCATGTGTGTTAAATGAATTGTATGGCTTAAACAAGTAAGAAAAAGCGTTTCAGGAGGTTAACGAGAGCTTAGGCCTGGGATTGGTTAAAAAATTGAAGGCTATCTGCTGAATAAAAGAAAATCTATTTGTTTCTAAGCTTTTATAAGAACTCTGCTTAGGAGAAATTTGAAAAAAAAAATGAAACGTCTTTGCAAAACGAAAAGCCAACCACTCTAAAAGCATTACACAGTTATCCAACTTACTTATACAGTAATTACTAAACTTATACAAAATATGAAAAAAGTGTCACCAAGAAGTAGAGGTTATACAGTAATTGCTCCTTAGTTATCAAAAGAATTGATAAATGTACAAAGTTTTAAACACTTTGCATATCTTGCCTTCTGTCCAACTGAAAGCATCTGCAGAAATGCTGCATTTTGCACACTAAAACCTTTTTATAAAAACGCCTAATCTTTATCAATCACCCCATTAGACTTATCACATCAGCCCACGAATGTTAAATCTGGAAAGGTATATTAAAGTTGTTTTTTTGTTTTTGTTTTTTCATCAACCTGTCCGCCACGATCTACCTGTTTTAATGCGGCAATATATCTTCGGTAGGTTTCTCAGTCAGTTTGTTTAGGGGGGTCACTGATAAGAAAAACTTCAGGGGAAAGTTGGCATTCTATTTTTGCATTGAAATAATGCAAAAATCCACATTTTGATTGGAATCAAACTTGACTTTCAAAGCTACGTGCGCATTTATTGATTTGGACACTTATGTTACAATATCAGCAATGATCTGCTGAATAAAAGGACGGCAAAAACACTAGCGCTCCTCAAGGATGTATCCTAGAGCAATCTGTCTTTACATTATTTTCATGATAGGTTGCACTGGCAAAAAAAAAAAAAAAGACATTTTTGTGCTCAAGGAAAAGATTAAGGCAACTTTTAATGTGCTGCTCTATTTGTATATTTAAACAAGGTCCCAAATTGGATAAATCCTCTCTATCTTACATGATGTTATATGCAACCATGTAGTCTTTCAAGTGAAATCGCATTATATCTTAAAGATAAAAGTGTGCATCTTTGAGTAGGGTTTCAAAGTTTTTAAAGGGCTGGGATCATTGTGTGGGGTGGTTTAAACAGGAGCTGCAGTCTATTTTAAAGACATTATTGCAAGTTATTTGCTAAATAAAAGCAAGGCAGGCTGTTTTTTTTTTTTTTTTTGTAAAGTTTTAGGAAGTTTTAGGAAAGGCTCTGGTAGGAAAACTCTGTTGGAGGACTTTTGTTTAAAAAAAAAAAAAAAACTTCCTTGCCTCATTGTGCTGCCTTCACATACCCTGCTGTCCCCACACAGTTGTCATGCCTACCCCAACAGCCTTATCTCAAAGGAACATCACAGTTTGTTACGACAAGAGGAGGGGAGGGGAACGGGGGGAGAAAAGTTGGGGAGAAATAACACTATAAACATAAAACATCCGGCCAAAGCATAAAATAAAACAAACAAATATAAGGGGGGTCTACAGTTGAGCTTAGTGTGCACTTGTTTGTTTTATCGTTGATAAGGGAGGATGTGTCGACAACTCAACATCCACCATGCCGCTCTCCAACAATGAAAACAGCGCCATATCGAATAAACAACACTTCTTTCATGTGTAAATCACACTTTTTCTCGCCTTTAAGCTCTAATAAACTTCAATGAAGCCGAAAAGCGTGACGCTTTTTGTTTATTTTTTCTCGAACTTGTAACACTTTCCTTCTAAAGTCCGCAGCGCGCGTCAAGAAATCTGAACTTGAGTATCAAGTTTACAGCGTGAAAAAAAAGTTATCAATGAAAGAAGAAGAAAACAAACACAACGCGGTAGTTAGACGGGAGCTACTTCGCGGTGACGCAACTTTAGCGATCGGGATCAATCAGGAGCCGCGGCTCAACGTAAAAAGCGTAGACTTAAAACTTTTTTAAAAAAGAGGAAAAAAAGAGGAAAAGCACAAACCTACTTGAAGCGACTCCACGTCTCCCCCCCTTTGCTTGCTCTCTGCTTGTTGTTGGCCTCTAAGTTAAATCAAAGCAGTAGCAGCAGTCCCCGGTAGCAGCAGAATCAGGGGGCCCCCACCCCTACCCACCATTCCTATTAGTGTTGCGTTTAGGGTGTCCTGCGCTAAATGTAAATTGCCATGTGAATTCAAAGCGTTACTCCCTCCTCTCTTCTTCATTCAGCAGCAGACTCCCCCCCTCTCCTCCCCCTCCCTCCCTCTCTACCCCCCCTCCCCTCACACCGTCTCTGCTGCTGCTCAGGCCGTTAGTTACATAAGACGCAAACCGACTGCTGCGTCGTAAAACATCTACTAACTGCTACATTCCCCCCCCTACTCTCATAATCGCTTCCTTTTCGGACATATCTCATCGTCCGGGAGTACATCCATCCGCCTGCGAATCGAAGCCTGCATTAAAATATATAATATAATAGGATATAATAATGCAATAAAATGGAGAAGCTTTCGCAGATTTAGTTGTATGGATGCTTACCTGTTGATCAAAAATAAGAATAAGCCTCTTTTCTCTCTGAGTGTCTCTTTCAGCAGTCTGTAAAGATGGTGGCTGTCTGGTTGGTTCGTCTCTTTGTGGGTTTTTTTTTTTTTTGTTTGTTGATGATGTCGGACGGGGTGACTGTCTTGGCTGTCTCTTTTTCTCTTTGGTCAGAGAAGCGAGATAGTTAAAGGCTTCGGCTAATACCAACTGATTAGTGAGTGAGTTTGGCTCGGGTGTTGAGACATTCCCGACGCTATAGTTAGTTTGGTATTCATAGAGTTGGTGGTCAGTGCAAACCAAACCAAAGCAGGTCAGCTTGTTTTTCTTTTCTTTTTTTTTTCTTTTTTTTTTTTAGTCTTTTCCTTTCAGACTGCTGTTATCGCTTTGCTGTGACAGGACCTCTCCGCCTGTCTCTCTGTAGGCATTACGTCAGAGGAGGAAGACACAGCGGCTCTATTAATATCAAGAAGCCACCCGAAGACTCACTCTTAAAGTGACACGCACTGTTATCTCTCACTGATTTATATTGGTGATAAAGCTGCATCAAAAATTGGGAAAACAAAAAGTTTGCTGTTAGAAAAGCAAAGCAAACTTTTAGCAAAACTAAAAGTTGCACAATGTAACCCTCTAATAGGAGACGGAGAACCCAAAAACATAAAAAAAAATACTTATACGCCTCTCACCACAGCTGAATTAACTTAGACAGGCCCTTATCAAAAAAGGCAATTTACAAACTGGATTCATTTTATTTACAAAACTATATATTTCAATATGAAAACTCACATGAAGAGAAAAGACAGTTAGGAGAAATTTGTTGATACAATTACTTGGTTTTTGGCGCTGAGACCTTGGCAAGAAACACAGCATTTAATTTTGGTAGATATGATTTCCCTCCAGGCCTTAAACTGGTGGTGGAGTGGAGATAGATAAAGTTGGTCAGTCTGTAGACTGCTGGTTAAGCCGGGCGTACACTATAGGGGTGTAAATAATAATAGTTTTGTATTGATGCATCGATCCAACAGCCAACGATCCGATGCATCGACACGTCTGTAAGAGTATCAATTCATGTTTTTGTTTTTTTCCTCCGGTCTATTTTTATCCACTTGCTCCTGGACGTAATTCTGACTCCCATGCTGCGGTGGCGCTAAACCTATTTTGCCCTCCTACCTCGCTTCCTTTAGCCACCACCCTCTTTCCGCATGCACACACACAGTCACGTAAACAGTAGGCAAGACAGACGTGGCGGAGGAAAAAGAAGATGATTTATTGTTGAGTATCGAAAATAATTGAATCGTTGGGTAGGGAGATAGATAATAAATGGAATTGCCATGATGAGTGTGATTTACACCCCTAGTACACTGTGCGATTTTTTTCAGTCGCTGCACGCAGCTAATGCTCACACTGTACGACTAATCCACAGGGTTTAGTCGTGCAGTGTGAGTTCGCAGCTCACGATGTATGTGCAGCACTCTCTTATGCGATCTACCTGCTCACACTGTACGTCTAAAAAGCAGGTCAGACTCCGCAGTGAGATGGAGCTGCTCTGACTCGTCTATCCGGAAGCCAAACAAATAGAAGGGGAATATTAAGCTCACTATAGTGAACGTGCTGCCTTGGCAATTTGTGCAATTTTGTGCTGAAAGCCCTAAAAAGAAAAGGTGACGACATATTTGGAAAAAAGACATGGCTGAGCAAACGTGGCTACTACGGTCTGTCAATTTTACAGACAGAACTGCATTTCACTCATTGCATCCCTGCCATGCTGCTGTGTTTACAGAAGAATCCTTGTTTGCACACTGAGCGATTTGCCTACGACGGTTGGGAGAAAATCTTAAAATGTTTGACCTCACGATTCCTGATCAGGAGGTGGTCGTAAGTGGCTGATCGCCCCTCGTTACCCCCTGTACACTACACGACTAACAACGCACGATCAGGCTGAAAGTCGGCCCGGCCGAAAGATTCTCGCATGACTGGAAAATCGTCCCCCGAAAATCGCACAGTGTACGCCCGGCTTTAGCAAGATGGTATTGAACTTTATGGGGAGATCAAGTGGATTGCGTGAGCTGATACTAGAGCTTCACTCAGGGACCTGGAAGATGGAAGTCCAGTTGGATAACACATGTTGAGAGAACGTTTCCATTATGAGCAAGCATGAAGCGACAGTGGAGAGGAAAAACTCCCCGTTGGGAAGAAACCTCTGGCAGAACCAGGCACAACATGGCAGTCTTTTGCTGGACCGGTTAAGATGAGACAGGGAACGCAGTAAAAGTCTGGGAGGAATGACACACTGATGAAGCTTTAGCTACAATGGTGGAGGAGGGGCTGGAGGTGGGTTGAAACGGTGTCATCTGAATGAAGTTATACAGTGCATCCACAGCCTGCGCGAAGGAGCAGACAAGTGCGTATCGGAGGCCTTTTTAGATGAACTTTGGATACCGATGTCTTTCGTGGAGTTGTGGTTCAAAGCTGATCGGCTGCGTCACAGGTGGATGTAGGAAAGCACTGAGTTTCTTCAGTTGAACTTCCGCCATGGCTCCATTTTCATGAGCATGACACATAATAATATGCTCCCCGGGCGCCACACAATGGCAACCCACTGCTCTCCAAGGGGATGGGTTAATGCAGAGGTAAATTTCTCCAATGTGAGATCAATAAAGTAAAATTATTATTATTATTAGTAGTAGTAGTACATAAATCTTGCCCTTCTGAAGCTTTGTGAAGGCAAATCTGTATTTTGCATGGTCCAATAAAAAATGATTTACAATTCAATTCAATTTTCAATTCAGTTTATTTATATAGCGCCAAATTCACAACACATGTCATCTCAAGGCACTTTACAGTTCAACCAGATCATCCAGTCAAATTGACACAAAGTTTTCTATCTAAGGAAAACCAGTTGATTGCATTGACTCAAATACAGTCTCTCAAACTAAGCATGCTTGTAGCGACAGTGGAGAGGAAAAA